TCTGAACAATTTGTGTACTAATTGTTAAATGAGAACCTAAACTTTCACTGAAAAGACAATAAAATATTATTTTAAAAAAGGTGTGCATGATATTGGTCTTAGTAAGGTGACAAATTGTAACTACATTTGTCCCATTTATAGGTATTTTCCCCCACAAGGAATCCATGTCCATAACTTGCACCTTAGTACATTCTCACTACTGCTTTGTAAAAGCTCTCTCCTGGAACAATAAGCAACATCATGATAAATGCAGAAAAGATTGAAGTTATCAACATTTGATTTTACTGGGATCCACAATTAATGCCCATGGAAGCAGCAGTCTAGAAATAAAATGACGTATTGCACTGGGCAAATCTGCTGCAAAAGACCTCTTTAAAGTGTTGAAAAGATGTCACTTTAAGGACTAAGGTGCGCCTGACCCCATGGTGTTTTCCATTGCCTCATATGCATGCGAAAGCTGGACGATGAATAAAGCAGACCAAAGAAAAATTGATGCCTTTGAATTACGGTGTTGGTGAAGAATATTGAACATACCATGGACTGCCAGAAGAATGAATAAATCTATCTTGGAGGAAGTACAGCCAGAATTCTTCTTATAGGCAAAGATGGAGAGACTTTGTCTCATATACTTTGGACATGTTATCAGGAGGGACTAGTCCATGGAGATGTACATCATGCTTGGTAAAGTAGATGGTCAGCAAAAAAGAGGAAGTCTCTCAATGAGATGGACTGACACAGTGGCTGCAACAATGAGTTCAAGTATAACAACAATTGTATGGATGATGCAGGACTGGGCAGTGTTTTGTTCTTTTGTACATAGAGTCGCTATGAGTCAAAACCAACTTGACGACAGCTAACAACAACACAACAAATCTCCTAGACAGACTGAGGAAAACGACAATTTTTACCAAATCCATTACCATGCTAGGATGGTTGAAGTTGAGAGTCCACTTAGTTGGGCCATGATTCTCAGTGGTGTGGCAGTTATGTAATGATGTAGTTATCCTCCATATTGTGATATAATGTAATCACCT